GTGGGACCAGACTTCACGTTGACATCTCCAGCTGCAGTAAAAGCCCTCCGAGTAGGATCCTGTAAGTTCCATTGCACCATGTCCCGCCATTTCGTCTGAAACTTTTTCTGCGAGCCCACATCAATCTCGAAATTATGGATGCTCACCAGCCTCATCGTGACATTGTCCTGCTCGTCGGAAATAATGAGTAATGCCACTCTCCCAGCACAGAGGATCTGATGATGAATTTGAATATGAAGACCTCCTTGATCCAGCGAGTCCAATGGCACTAAGAACGCTGCGCCACCCGCTTTCTGAGACAGATGTTTGTAAAAGATCTTGTACGGATACGGGCACGTGGCAATGACGGTAGTCGACTTATCCAGCGCCGCACGGCATTCCCGTAGCAGAACCACAGCTCGTTTACGCATGCAAGAGGCGAGCTCGTTGAGCTCGGTCTTCCTGCGGTGAGGTTTGTAGCAGAAGGAAGCCACGAGCATTCCACGAGACAATAATACCATTCCGCCGAGCATATTCCGATGACCACGGTGACCATCTCCTGCTACATAGACCAGATAGATGTATCCACGCTAGAGAACGCCTGTCCAAACGCTGCCACCCGCGGCTGCTCGTCGATCTGGAAGCGCGCAAGGATAAGCGAGTCCCATCGTAGCCTGGATGGATCCTCAGGCCCTTGGAATTCGACCATGACCAGCGGGGCTGCGTCGATGGCGATGATGCCCTTATCTCTCAGAGCTCCAATCCGGTGTCCAACATGCGCATCCTGGAAAATGCGTTGAAGTCGGTAGATTTGCAAGTCCAATCGTACTTGCTTCGGGCTCTTGTCGGTGCTGACGGAAACTGGAATATTGACCCCTCCCGCGTCCACACCACTGAACGTTCTGAACCCCGCGGGGGTCCTGAGAGCTCGAGATAGTGGCATTGCTCTGGCTGGGGCTGCAGCTCCTCCTTGCAATTGTAAATGAAACCTCCGTTGTGGAACGTCCCCATGAAGTACGAGCTGCTCAATAGGAACGCCAGAAGCCACAATCCATTCCGATAGGGCTGCCTTGACGGCAGATGAAGCCATTGCACGCGGTGCCCCGATGCAGAAAACCGTTGGGCCAGGGGCTCTGTCACATTCTGCCACCCGGTGAACATCAAATGCGACTGACGCTTCTGCCATTGCCAAAGCCTGCTCCATTGCTTGAACTTGCTGACGCATACGTTGTGGGTCCGTTTCAACCTCGTCTGCTCTGGAATGAAATTCGTGGATACTTCTGTCAAGCAACTCAAGGTGCGTCGCGTTCTGCTTGCTGACTGCCAAGAATTCGTGCATCTGCGCGTTGAATGCCTGTTGGTGTTGGGCAATGAGTGAGTTTGCCGTAGCCGTGAGTTGAGCCGTCGCCTGAACAGTCTGAGCTTGCCCCATCGCCGCCAACCTTTTTTTCCAAGTCTGATAGACCAGAAGGAGGAGGAGGGGAAGCAGCATCTCTGGGAGTAGGTAGATCACCAATCGGTGTGGCACTCCCAGCGGTAGCCGCACCATCATCAGGAAACGTAGGAACAAGTTCCAGCTTTCGAGCCTATTGTTGCTTGGCTAATGGAGAAAGAAGAACATGTTCTGGTCCAGGATGTCTAGCTGGCCCTCCACTAGCCCCTACGTGCCGTTGAGGTGTGGGCGTTGCTGCCGCAACTTGCCATGGGTCTCTTTCGCTGAGGGCGTCCGTGCGAGCAGCCGAAGGTCCAGATGTTCGGGTAGCAGCTCGCTGAAGTTCTTGCCTGTCAATGTGCCGATCTCGCCCCCGTTCTCTTTCGTCATGATCAGCACGTCTGTCTTTGTCTCTGCGATCACGGTGTCTGTGTCTTTGCCTTCTGTTTGAGCCCCTTCTTTCTCTTGGAATGACTCGCGTCTTGCCTTCTACGATCACGGGGGCGAGAATGAGGTCGGCGAGATCCGTCTGACGAGCGGGACATGCTGCTGCCGGTCGCTGCCATGGCACCTTGGTGTAGCGAGGGTCGCATATCCTGCCTCCAGGCGAGCGTTCCAATCCTGAACCAACGAGCCGTGCCGTAGTTGGGGACGGTGGATGGGCGAAGAGGAACGGGACAAGGGATAGGTACAGGATCTGCCTCAACGCGATCAGGAAGACCACGGAGAGAATGCCAGCAACGAACCTCGCGATACTGGACTGGGAAGATGGGGTGCCCTTGCTCGGGTGGGATATGGAAGGTGATGAGAAAACTTCTGACGACTGTGGGAGCCTGCCCCGCTGAGGCAGTGAAGAGGACACCATCTTGGCCTTGAGCCAACATGGCTATGGAGGAGGAGGAGGAGGAGGAGGAGGAGGAGGAGGAGGAGGAGGAGAGGAGGAGGGGGAGGGGAGTTCCGGGAAGGGAAGGAGACGGGGGGGGAGAAAGGGGGAGAGAGGGTGAGAGGGGGAGAGAAAAGGTAAAGAGAGAAAAAGGGGGGAGGAGAGAGAGACTGATCTATATATATATATATATAGAGAGAGAGAGGGAGAGAGAAAGAGAGAGAGAGAGAGGAACAGAGTGGGGGCGGGGATGGGGGGGATTACGACTCGAAAGGCTTGCGAGAGGTACGGCACCCAAAAATGAGTCGGACTGTTCGCACGGCCCGACTTGGAGACAGACGCGCGGCGCTGAAGGGCTCAAACCCAGCTCCCATACCGATGCACCTTTTTCCCCTCTTCAACTCCATGTCCTTCCTCTCGTCTCCTCTCCCCTCACATCAAGAGCTGCAGGTAGCCAAGCTAGCCTCGTCCAAGGCGACGGAGGTGGGCGCAGAACCTCCTAAGCACTGAAGAACCTCAGATCCAGAAGTTCAAAACCACCGGGACACTCACGAGGTTAGATGTTAAAGGAGCAGAGCCAGTGAAACACCCAAAGAGTACTGGGCTGGACATGTACACCCGTTGTCTTACGACAGAACTTTACGGTCGAAGGCCGAGAACTGTGAGAATGTCCCACGCACCACCACGAGTTGGCGATGTCGCTTGCAAGAGCAAGGCCCAGCCCGAGAATCAGACGAGTGATTGAATGACGAACCGCACATCTAGAAAGCAATTCCCGCGGGAAATTCCAGACGTGGACCTCGGCAGCGACTGTATCAATACCAACTGTATATACATACAGACATGCCCTCATGTAAAGACGCACGCGTGTACATCTGCCACCGTGTCCAGGAACTGACAGGAGAGTCCTCAGGTCGATTCGAGTTCTCTGTATCGGATATTGAAATTACACTTTGGGTGTCAAGACGGCGGCCCCAAAGATGGCCCAAGAGGGCCCCGAGAGGGGGAACTCAAAACTAAAGTTCGAGCCCTCCGCGCCAAGATGACCCCCGAGACTGCCACCAGGCCCCTGAGAGGCCCCCTAAGAAGCCCCAGGCCCCCGAAAGAGAGGCCCAAAGACAGTCCATAACCGCCTCAGGAGGTGTCCTCCCAGGAGATCGCCACAGGCTTCCAAGAAGCCTCTGAACATCTAGCCTAGAACTCAGGCGCGGTGGCGGAATGGGCCGAGCGCAGGTATATGTAAACGTAGACGTGCATGCACATACAGCCATACATGTGCATGCATGCATGCCGATGCATATTTACATCTATATATGTGTGTATACACATGTACCTGCATACGCATACATACATACATACATACATACATACATACATACAGACAGACAGACAGACAGACAGACAGACAGACAGACAGACAGACAGACAGACAGACAGACAGACAGACATACACATGCATACATACATACACGCATGCATGCATGCATGCATACATACATACATGCATCAACAAAAAACAATACATATATTTGTTTAATGAAGATGCACCGGTATGTGTGCGTGTATCCGAATGTACAGCAATCCGTTCACACAAGCACATAAATACAGACATACACACATGGTTATTTTCACATTTTGTTTTTTTACAAACAAAAAAAAAGGTGGGGCCTCCTCTGTCAGAGGGCGCCGTCTAGCAGAGCGCGTTGTACAGCAGAGGGGCGCGGTTATATAATACTACGGAGTTTCGGGCCGGTCTGGGGAGGGACCCGTCTTCAAGAGGGTCTCGTCTAGTAGGCGGGCTCGTCTAGTAACTGGGATGTTGTAAAGCACAGGGTCACCCCTAACAACAACTATCTTTATGATTCGGCTCGGGGACGGGACTCGTTTAGCAGAGGAGCTCGCCTGGCATATGGCGTCGTGCAGCAGAGGGGCGCGTCCAGCAAGAAAGGACACCTGAAAAAAGCTTGAGGGGGGGATCGTCCAGCTAAGGGGCTCGCCTAGCGTAGGACGCCGTACAGCAAATGGGCGTACCTAACACCAATAGGGCGTTTGAATCACCCTGGGGACGGGGCTCGTCCAGCAGAGAGACTCGTCTACCGGTAGACCACCAGACCACAGGGTGCGGAAACGTCCAAACGGACTGACGCCTCCAAGAAGGTCCCTGGGAGGCCACTGGAAGCGACTGGGGAAGCCCATGAAACTCTCTGAAGCCACTGGGAGGGCCCTGGAGGCTCTTGGAAATTCGCAGAGGTCACTGAAGCCATCAAAAATCAGTCGAGAGTTTCTGGAGGCACATGTGGGGCCCATGAACTCTATGGAGATCCTCGGGCAGCCCCTGCAACCCTTGGGGTTCCCCAGAAGCCCTCAGAAGACTCCTGGATACCACTGAAAGGAGCCGTCTAGAAGCTCACGGATAACCCTGGGAAAACAATTGCAGACCTCTGGATACACCTGGAAGGTCTTCGGCGAACATCTTGAAGCCATACGATAACAACTGGTGGTCCCTAGGGCACAGGGTGGGCGGTATCCAGGCAGGCAGGTTCGGGGACAGCCGCCAGCGGCGGCAAATTCGTCGTGAGAGCGGCGCAGGCGATCCCGTGGCGCACTGCTGCGGGGCAGGTCGCGCCAGAGCTCTTCGCTGCTGTCTCTGACACCGCGGCACCATTCCATGGCAACGATACCATCCCTCCTCGTCCCCCCTCCCGCCCCCCCCCCCCCCATCCAATGGTCAGGCCACCAGATACACTTCCGCGAGTGCTTGCAGGTCACGATCTCGACACCGAGCCTGAGCATAGCCTCTGTTGGGAAAGGAGCGGGGCAGGAGCGAGGGGGTGGGAGAATCCAGAGGTTTCCTCGGGTCCACCTTCACCCTGCCCGCGGTCGTCCCACAAGCCACCTGGGCGTAGGTGGCTGAGCGAGTTCATTTGTCCAAACTCCTTTTTCCCCTTCGGTCCCCTCCCAAGGGTCTGGACCCCTCCACCAACAAGCGAAAAGCGGGTCCAAGATAGCCAAAGATGGCTCCAAAAAGGCCTCAGATAACCTATTCTCCAACATGGCACAAGATAGCCTAAGGTGGCTGAAGATAGCCTCCAACATGCCTCAACGAGGCCCCAAGACGCCCCACAAGAACGGCTCCAAGTGGCCACGAAGTATCACGAGAACGCCCCTCGAGAGGCCAAAATCCGTCAAGAGTCTTCGGAAAATATATGCTGATGACATTCTCGCATTTTCGTTTACCATGGGCTGCTGAAGCCTCAGGACGGTTCCAAGGTGGCCCAATAGAGCCCCAAGAGGGGCCCAAGAGAGCTCCAAGATGCCCAAAGAGCGCCCAAGAGCGGCCCAAGACGGCCTCAAGAGGTGTTTGTGGGGGCTCCGACGGGGTAGAGGAGGGCGTCAGCAATGCCCCCCCCCCCCTGTACATCGATTGCCTCCAGGAGGGCTCCCAAGAGGACATCAAAGAGAGCCCCAAAGGTCCCCTAGATGGCCCCAAGAGGGCCCCATGATGGCCAAACAGAGGTGCCAAAAGGCTACCACATCGACAGATCCGAGAAGGCATTCATGGTTGATTCCTGGGTCTGCCCAGCCTGATCCCTAGCTTCGGTCTGACGGCTGCCCAGCCTGATCCCTGCACTTCCCTGATTAAAGAGACTCACATGGACATAGTTTCTGGATGGGGTGTTGTGGATTTCTCCGCGAGCGCAAGCGGAGGAGCCGCGCGCCGTCAATAAGATCCAGCGGAGACCAAGGGCTGTGGGGATACTTGTTCGGTCGCGTCCGCAAGCGAAGGCGCAGGCGGAGACAGAAGCTGTCCGGGGCGCGGAAACAGTCCTAAGTAGCTGCAAGGCGCGAAGCAGGCCGGCCGGGCCAGCTCACAAGGCAACTGCTGAGCTGCACGGTGAGGGCTGACTGGCTGAAGGCACCCAGGGAAGCTCGGGCAACGTGCAGTCCTGACAAAATGCCAGAGAATTCAATGTACGCCCTGCGGCGTGAACCACACAGCGAACGCGAGGACGTAAGCGAGCTGATGCCCACACCCCTCACACGCCTGGTGGTCGCAAAGGCGAGGTGAACGATGAACGAGTCGCCAGCGGGGCGCCAAGTCCAGGTCCGTACCAACGGTGTATGCAAGCCAGGTGGGCTACGCAGCCGAGGTGACGTCGAAGACAAGGTGGTGGGGATACGCAAAGCATCAAGAATTCACCACTCTTGGCCAATCGAATCCAACTTATGACATATCCCTTTTCCCCGGTCAAATTCCGCTCAGACTCGGCCACCGACCTGTCGCGAATACCATCATGACACACCGGTGGAGCCGTACCTGGTAGCGGCGACGAGGGGCTAGAACCAACAACGATTAGCCTGGCGAAGGACCCAAGCATATGCAGCTGTGAGTACCGCCCTTGTCAGTAGCGCCTTCGGTGGATCGCCTCGTGGGGCCACGGAGCGCGTGAAGAGTGTGCCGAAGAAATGGGGCGGAGCCGCCCTGGTGTAGAGCCCCCCTTTTATGGGGGGCCACAGAACGTGAGGGATGTGCCGAAATGGAGGATGGGGAGGTTCTTCTCCTCCTCCTCCTCCTCCTCCTCCTCCTCCTCCTCCTCCTCCTCCTCCTCCTCCTCCTCATTCTCCTCCTCCAACTCCTCCTCCTCCTCCAACTCCTCCTCCTCCTGCTCCTCCTCCTCCTCCTCCCCCTCCTCCTCCTCCTCCTCCTCCTCCTCCTCCTCATTCTTCTCCTCCTCCTCCTCCTCTCCTCCTCCTCCTCCTCTCCTCCTCCTCCTCCTCCTCCTCCTCCCTCCTCCTCCTCCTCCTCCTCCTCCTCCTCCTCCTCCTCCTCCTCCTCCTCCTCCCCCTCCTCCCTCCTCCCGCCTCTCCTGCCTGTGGCAGTGGCGGCGGACGGGGGGGCGGGCCCTGGCCAGGGCCACAGCTGGCGGTTCTCGACCAGAGGAGAGGGGAGGGCGAGGCAGGCGGGCGCGGGGGGCGAGGGCAAAGTCGGAGAGGGGGGCGCCATGCGGGCGCTGCCACCGGGGCCCTCGCTGGAGCTCCCCACGGTGCCACGAAGCGCGTGAGGGGTGCGCCAAAATGGGGCGGCGCCGCCATGCGGACTGCGCCATTGGGGCCTTCGGTGGAGATCCCTGTAGGGGCCACGAAACGTGTGAGGGGTTTGCCGAAATGGGGCGGCGCCGACTGCGCCAATGGGACTTTAGATGGAGCCCCCTTATGAGGCCACGAAGCGTGTGAGGTGTGTGCCGATGCTGATGGCGATGATGGTGGCGATAATAAGGAAGATGATGATGGTGATGAGGATGATGATAATGACGATGACGATGACGATGGCGATGACGATGATGATAATGATGACGGGAGGAGGGAGGAGGGGGAGGAAGAGAGGATGAAGGAGAGACGCGAGGCCCTGTCTTTCAAAACGAGGACCCAACACCACAGGATGGTCGGGAAAAACATGCGCACGGACAAGCAGGACTACGCCCCACTTCTGGCCAAGCCACGTTTGCCCCCGATCTCTCGTTTATTAAGCGTCCAAGGGAAGGTCACGAATGCCACCGCACCCCCATATCCCTGGACAGGGACCGCTCGAATCGGAGCTGCCTTGTTGTCATACGTTCGCAGACGAGAGGCCGAAAGCATCCCACACCTGAGCTTGTTTCAACATGCACAAGTAAGCAACGAATTCTTGTCTTCCAGTCGACCGCCGGGAACCACGCTTATCCGTATCCTTCTCCAAGTAAAACGCGCATGCGATCTGAATGTTGAGACTCAAGGTCAGAGGCAGACAGCGGATCGAATTGTGGCGCCTGTCAAAGAGGGTACCGAACGGTGACAGCGGGCACGCCGCAGCCAGCAACTACCTACCGTACTGCTGTGCGCGGGCGTTTGCCGCAAAAGCGTCGCACAGAGACGTGTCTGGGGGACGTCCCTACCAGCTGCCGCCAAGGCGGGGAAAACAGCGGGGGGACGCGGAGCCGCGCATGTTCATCTTTGTCGTCAGCGATGCGAAGCCCACGCAGCGCCAGCGGTCAAATGTCATGCGGATAATCGCGCTACTCTAAGCGGCGCCGGGTGCACGGGGAGAGAAGGTGGGACGAGACGGGAAATGGGGGAAGGAATGGAGCGCGGACCAGGCAGACCCACAAGCACCGAACGGTGGGCATGTCCCCCCATAGGGAGCAGAGGCGCGTGCAGGGAGGTCCAGAGGTCCTCGTGCGATCGGGTGGCGCGCGTGCAGGAGGAGCAAACTGAAGGGGAACTGGGACACACAAATAAATACACACAAATGAAAAGATTCCCCATACTTTCCCATATTTTCTGGGTTTCTGTCTTCCCCCCCACTTCCCATATTTTCCCATATTTTCTGGGGAATCGACGATTAATTGCGTCTGCGTGTTTTTTCCCCTCCTGAAAAACAAGCAAAAACCGCAGGAGCGCCAGACTCGGAGGCGACCAGAGGGACGGGGGCGGCGCAGGGGCGAAACAAACATTAACCTGGCGAAGGACCCAACCATATTGGGCGCCCGAGTGATCCGGGGTAACTCGGGTCCGGGGTAACTCGGGTTCGGATTCCCGAAAAACGAACCCGAATTAGCCCTGACCCGAATTACCCCTGATGAGTCGGGGCTCTGGACGCCCGAATTATCCGAGGTAACTCGGGTCCGGGGTAACTCGGGTTCGGAATCCCGAAAAACGAACCCGAGTTAGCCCTGACCCGAGTTACCCCTGATGATTCGGGGTTCTGACCATATGCAGTTGTGAATACCGCCGTTGGACGCACCTCTTTCGGAGGGCCTCTCCTATAGGGCCGCGAAGCGTGCGAGGGGTGTACCAGAATTTGTCCGGCGGGCGCATGCGAAAGCAGCCACTGGGGCCGTCGGTGGAATTCCCTATGAAGCCACGATACGCGTGAGAGGTTTGCCGAAAAAAGTGCGGTGGGCGAATGCGAACGCAGCCACTGGGGCCGTTGGTGGAGCTCCATGTGGGGCCGCGAAACGTGCGAAGGGTGTGCCAAAATGGGCGCGGTGGGCGCATGCGAACGCAGCCACTGGCGCCTTCGGTGGAGCTCCCACGAAACGCGTGGGAGTGCCATAATGAGTTTGGGGGACGCATGCGGGCGGTGGCACTGGCGCCTTCGCTGGAGCTCCCAATGGGGCCACGAAGCGTGTAAGGTGCGTGCCGAACTGGGTGTGGGTGACACATGTGGACGGTGGCAGTGGGGCCTTCGGTGGAGATTCCTATGACGCCACGAAGCGTGTGAGGAGTGTGCCGACATGGGTGTGCGTGACGCATGCGGGCGGTGGCACTGGGGCCTTCAATGGAGTTCCCTGTGAGGCCGCGAAACGTGTGAGGGGAGTGCCGACCTGGGTGTGCGTGACGCATGCGGGCGGTGGCCCTGGGGCCTGCGGTGGAGCTCCCTGCGAAGCCACGAAGCGTGTGAGGGGTGTGCCGACATGGGTGTGCGTGACGCATGCGGGCGGTGCCCCTGGGGCCGTCGGTGGAGATCCATGTGGGGTCACGAGGCGTGTGAGGGGTGTGCCGACATGGGTGTGCGTGACGCATGCGGGCGGTGGCACTGCGTCCTTCGGTGGTGATCCCTGTGAGGCCTCGACATGTGTGAGGGGTGTGCCGACATGGGTGTGCGTGACGTTTGCGGTCGGTGACCCTGGGGCCGTCGGCGCAGTTCCTAGTGGGGCCACGAAACGTGTGATGGGTGTGCCGAAATGGGTGTGCGTGACGCATGCGGGCGGTGGTCCTGGGGCCTTCGGCGGAGCTCCCGGTGGGTGGGGCCACGA